GGCCAGTTGTTTATCTTCAAGCCTTTAAGACCCCAGATGCTATTATCTTTTGATAGCCAGGCACCATCAGCTTTCTTCACCACATTTGCATATGCACCATCTTCCTTTTGAGTTGATGAAAATGTTCTAAATTAGGTAGCAGTGGTGTTCTAATTTAGATATTCAAAAAAATCTGTGAATACACTACCTCTCCATTTATTGACTCTTTCATTATCTGACATTTCACATTACAATAATATTAAAAATATACACTGTCACACTATTTTGTGCATTATCAATGTATGTCTGACAGTAAGTGCCAAAGTTGGAGGTTACAAAGATGGTTACAACAGCTGTGTGTCATCTTGGCTGGGCCTCAGTGGTTTGACAGCCATGAAATGATGACATTTGGCAGTTATGTAATGATGTAAGGAACCCTGGGAGTACCATAGTTAAAAGTGTTGGTTGCTAACCAAAAAGTCAGCAGTTCAACCTGACTGCTGCTCTGCAGGAAAAAAAAAAAAGTATGTAGTTTGCTTACATAAAGATTTACAGCCTTGGAAATACTATGGAGCAGTTCTATTCTGCCCTATAAGTTTGCTATGAGTTGGAATGAACCCATCAGCAATGGGTCTGGGTAATGATACAATTTGGCAGTCGTGTAATGATGCAGGAATAGACTTTATGGTATGAATCATAAATCAATCAGGCTTTTGTAAGAGGAAGAACAGCTATTGAGAGGATAATCCATCTGCTACAAGTAGCTCAAATTCAACAAAACTAAATCAGAAATTACCTTCTTTTACAACTCAAATCATGGTACAATCATCCTAGAGCCTAGACATTTACCGTATAAACATGAGTATAAGCCGAGTTTTTCATCACATTTTTAATGCGGTTTTTGTGGTAAAATTAGGTGCCCCAGCTGATATTTAGGTTGGCAATCATCCTATACTTTTTAAAGTTTTTCTCATCTTACTTAGGTGTTCAAGTCCTGTGGATTCTACTTTCTAGTTAGCTATTTTATTCTAAGTGCTAATTTTCATAGGGAAAAAAACTGCACTGGAAAAGCTTCCATTTTAATGTGTTAGATACTGTAAGGAGCACATGCTACAAACTGTATAATAAAAGGGGCAAGGTGAGCCTACCTTTATAAATTCTAACTTTATCACCAACTGTGTGACCAGGATCAAAATGAACTCAATTCCCAGCTGAAATGGGAGCAGGCCTCCTGTTCACACGGATCTACCACTTCTCATGAGCTGCTTCTATCACAATCTACACTCTCTCTGAACCTGACCATTCAGATCTCTTCCTTGGCTGTCCTTAGGCTAGCTCATCAAAGCGCCGCTGTAGACTCGAAAGTCTGCACAACTCCCTGAACTTTAGACCAGCTGCTCCCGCCCATACCACTCCTCCTCAATCCAAGCAACGAATGGACAGTACTTCCCAGGCCTAGCTCCCCTCAATGGTATAGGACTAGATAGTATTCCATTTTGCGGTACAAGGGTAGTTATGACTCAGACTCCACGATACCTAAGACCTGTGTATCCCTTACTTGCCAGGCTACTTTTGAAAAAAACAAAGGTACCTTGATTGCTGGAGTTATTTTCAAAACCAGAGTCAATGAGTCAAACCAAGTTCGTTACCCTACAGATAGAGGTTTATGAAGGCAAGTTGCTTGATGCTACTCTATCATCTTAGAACCATGACAGTTAAGACTAAGAGAGGCACAAAAATCCCCTGACATTACTAAACTCTGGAATCTCATTTCCAGACTTTTGATTATGTGAGAAGGCTCTGATACTTGCAACTGAATGCTTCCCAACTATCAAACATCCTGTTAAACTATAGAGAACTACTGATTAAACTGGAACTCTGAAGAAACTTCAGGGATCAAGAGGTAGATGTAAAAGCTAATGGTGTTTGACAACAACAGGTAAAATAACAAGCGTTACATTTGCCAACATTATTTGTCTATCTCTGTGCTAAGCACTTTTATGTAATTAATTGTATGCTTACAATAGTCCCAGGCAAGTTAGTAGCAGCTCCATTTAACAAGACTCAGAAACATTAAGCAACTTACTTGTGATGTATAACTAATAAGAGGATTAGCCAAAAATTCACCTCAAATGTGATACCAACACCTGAAACAGCTGGACTATTAAGTGTGAGTGACACACAAAAGTGTCGGAGGGCAGTTCCTAGACCTATGAAAACCCCTGCTTGTGTTCTCTGGCCCATGTCTACAACTTGATTAGGGAAATTCTTTGGCAATATT